CAGGTCAGGCAGGGCAGGGGTAGGCAGGGGAAGGCAGGGCAGGCCGGGCAGGCAGGGTTTTGGGCTGGCTGTTTGGCAGGTGAGGGGGCTTGGAACCTCGGAGAGTGATTGTCTCCTAGGTGACGCTGGAATGCCCTGGTTGGGGCAGTGTCACCCTGGTTTGGGATCCCAGTGCAGGAGGCCGTCTCTGGCTGGGTGTGACTGGAGCTGTTATGGAGGATGGGTAGGTGCGGTGAGAGGAAGAAGAGGGGATTCTGGGTGTGGCTGTGGGTGGGGAGGGCGTGAAAACAGCTGGAGGCAGAAAGGAGGCCATTGGTGAGAGAGGGAAGCAACTCTCCCAGGGCACACAGCTAGGCTGGCTGAGGGGGCTTGGCTATATATCTGACACTGCGCTTGTCTGGGAGTGACTGCAGTGCTGGCTGGAGACGTGCCCCTGGGTCAACCTCGGAGTCTCCCCGCATGTTCATTCTCTGGATCCCACATGCCATGGCTCTGGCTGTACCTCCTGGAAGAGGTCAACCCACTGCAGGGGCTGCTGGGAGGGCAGGGTAAGCCCTCCTTTTGAATCTGAAATGCTGCAGAGTATGGTGGAAAGCGGCCGGCCTCGTGCTGGAGTGGGTGCCCATCCCTGCTCGCACATCCGGCCACCTACTTCTCTCTGGAATTCCCCCCCAGTCCTCAAAAACAAATAGTGGGCCTGGTTGGGTCATTCCTCTAGTCATGTGTGTGACCCCACTGCACCATTCAGAGCAGAGTCCTGACTCTGGGATTTCTGAGTTGGAAGGATGTGAACTGGAATTACTTGTGGACACATGTCATGGGGGTAGGTTCAGTTGCACATGACAAAAGTTCCAAATAAAAGTAGCTTAAACACACAAAGGTTTATTTGTTTTGAATGTAAAAGAAGTCTTATAATGGCTAGTTCAGATCTCATGTGAATCACTGAAGCCTTGAGACTCACCTCATGGCCCCAAATGGCTGCCAGAGCTCCAGCCATCATACCCATGTTTTAGGTAATAGAAAGCAGAAAAGGCAAGAAAGAGCAGAAGTGCTCCTTCCAGCTGAATCGGCTCCCTTTGGGCAACCTTCCCGGACAAGTACTACAGGATACTTCTGTTTACCTACCACACTTGCAAGGGAGTGTGAGAACTCCTTTATCATCTGGGCACTTTGCTGCCTCCAGTAAAACCAGGTTTCTGCCTACACCACAGGCTGTATTCCCTGCCATCCCCACATACAGTCATAGGGAGTAAAAGCAAGTTGAGAGGAGGGAGCTCATGACACAGGACAGGGAGAAAAGCCAAGTGGCTGGGAAGAGTGGGAAGGTGGGAACCTCAACCAAGAGTGTAGGGGAAGAGCCCAGCCTCGCTCCCTGACCTGGCAGGTTGCCATAGTTGGCCCCTTCTTCCTTAATCCAGGTTGAGCTGGGTCCTATTGCTTACAAAGGGAAGAGTGTACTGACCTTGGGTAAGGACTTAGCTCCTTTTATTATTTTTTTAAGAATTATTTAACTTTATTTTCATTTGACCATAGAGGGACAGAGAGAGAGAGAGACAGAGCGACACAGAGAGAGAGAGAGACAGAGCGACACAGAGAGAGAGAGAGACAGAGCGA